AAAAAAAGAATTACAAGAAAAAAAAAATGAAGGAAAGAAAATTCTTAAAATTGAAAAAAAGAAAAAGAAAAGAACTGACAAAATGAATGAAAAAAGAAAAAAAAACAAAAAAAGAAATGAAAAAAAAAAAATCACAATCAAAAATAAAAGAAAAGAATCTTAAATTGAAAAATGAAAAAAAAAAGCCTACACTCATAAATGAACGAAACAGAAACAATTGAGAAATGAAAAAAAAAAAGAAAACAAAAAAAAATGAAAGAAACAGAATGAAAAAATTGAGAAAAAGAAAAAAAAAGAAAACTCATAAATGAAAAAACAGAAAAAGAATTGAGAAATGAAAGAAAAAAAAGAAATCATAAATGAAAAAAACAGAAGAAAAAAAAAGAAAGAATTGAGAAATGAAGAAAAAAAAAGACTCATAAATGAAAAAAAAAAAGAGAAAAACAAATGAGAAATGAAAAAAAAAAATACAAAATAAATGAAGGAAACAGAAGAAGAAATTGAAAATGAAAAAAAAAAAAGAAGACAAATAAATGAAAAAAAAAGAAAAATGAAAAAAAAAGAAAAAAAGAAAAAAAAAATGCTTTCTCATAATTAAAAAAAAAAAAAAAATGAGAAATGAAAAGAAATGAAGAAAAAAAAAAAGCCTAAAAAAAAAATGAATGAAAAGAATCTGAAAAAGAAATGAAGAAAAAAGAGAAAAAAAAAAAAAAAGAAAACTCAAAAATGAAGGAAACAGAATTTGAAGAAAAGAGAAAAAAAAGAAAAAAAAGCCTAAACTCAAAATGATGGAAAAAGAATTTTAGAAAAGAAGAAATGAAAAGAAAAAAAAAGAAGCCTAAAAAAAAAATGAAAGAAAAAGAATGAAAATTGAGAAATGAAGAAAAAAAAGCCTACAGAAATAAAATGAAAAAGAAAGAAAGAAAAAGAAAAAGAAAGAAAGAAAAGAAAAAAAAATGGAAAAAAAAAAAAAAAAAAAAAAGAAAAAAGAAGAAAAAAGAATAAAAAAAGAGAAAAGAAAAAAAAAGCCTAAAGAAAAAATGAAGAAAAGAAAGAAAAAAGAGAAATGAAAAAAAAAAAAAAAGAAAAAAAATAAGAAAGAAAAAAAATGAAAAAAAAAAAAAAATAAAAAAAGAAAAAAAAGAAAAATGACAGAAAAAATGAAAAAATGAAAAAAAAGAAAACAAAAAAAATGAAATGAAAAAAAGCCTACAAAAAAAAGAAACGAAACAAAATCTTACAATAAAGAAAAAAAAAAAAAAAAAAACACTCATAAATGAACAAAAACAGAAAAAAAGAAAGAAATGAAGAAAAAAAAAAAAAGACATAAATGAACGAAAAGAAATTAAACAATTGAAAATGAAGAAAAAAAAAAAAATCATGAAAAATGAACGAAACAGAAAACAATTGAGAAAAAATGAAAAAAAAAAACAAATAAATGAAAGAAAACAAAATCTACAATTGAAAAAAATGAAGAAATGAAAAAAAGAAACGAAACAGAATCTTACAATTGAGAAATGAAGAAAAAAAAACAAAAAATAAACAAAAAGAAAAAGAATCAAAATTGAGAATTGAAATGAAGAAAAAAAAAGAAAATGAAAGAAAAAATGAAGAAAAAAAAAGAGAAATAAATGAAAAAAGAAAATGAAAAAAAAAAAGAAAATGATCATAAATGAAGAAATGAAAAAAAAAAAAATAGAAAAAAAGAAAAAAAAATGAAAAAAAAAATAAATGAAGAAGATGAAGAAAATTAAAAATAAAAGAAATGAATGAAAAAAAAAGAGAACTCAGAAATGAAAAAAACAGAATCTTAAAATTGAGAAAATGAAAAAAAATGAAATCAAAATGAAAACAAAAAAACGAAACAAAATAATTACAATTGAAAATGAAATGAAAAAAAAAAAAAAAAAAGAGAAATGAAATGAAAAAGAAGAATTAAATTGAAAAATGAAAAAAAAAAAAACTCATAAATGAAAAAAAGAGAAAACAATTGAGAAAAATGAAAAAAAAAAAATGAAAAGAAAAAAATGAACGAAACAGAATTAAAAAGAAAGAAATGAAGAAAAAAAATGCCTAGAAAAAATAATAAAATGAAAAGAAACAAATCTTAAATTGAAAAAAGAAAAAAAGAAAGACATAAAAAATGAAATCTTACAAAAAGAAAAGAAATGAAAAAAAAAAAATACACCAAAATGAACGAGAAAAAAAACAAAAAGAAGAAATGAAGAAAAAAAAATTGACAAAGATAAATGAAGAAAAAGAAAGAAAAAGAATTGAATTTGAAGAAAAAAAAAAACACTCAAAAATGAAAAAAAGAAAAAGAATCTTAAAAAAAAAAAAAAGAAATGTCTGAAAGCCTACACTCAGAAAAATGAAAGAAACAGAAAGAAAAATTGAGAAATGAAGAAAAAAGAAAAGACATTCATAAAAAAAGAAAAAATGAAGAAAGAAAAATTGAGAAATGAAGAAAAAAATCAAACAAAATAAATGAAGGAAACAGAATCAAATACAAGAAAGAGAAATGAAGAAAAAAGGGACAAAATAAATGAAGAGAAACAGAAAAAAACAATTGAAAAATGAAAAAAAAAGAAAAATTTCATAAATGAAACGAAACAGAATTAAAAAATTGAGAAATGAAAAGAAAAAAGTAAAAAGAAATGATAAATGAAAAAATGAAAAATTAAAAAAGAAAGAGAAATGAAGAAAAAAGAAGACAAAAAAATGAAAGAAAAACAGAAAGAAAGAAATTGAAAAAAGAAAAAAAAAAAAAAAGGGGAAATGAAAATGAAGAAAACAAAAAAACAATAGAGAGAAATGAAGAAAAAAAATGGAAAAAATGAAAAATGAAAGAAACAGAAACAATAGAGAAATGAAGAAAAAAAAAAACACTGAAAAAAAATGAAGAAAAAGAAGAAAAGAAAAGAGAAAAAAAAAAAAGACAAAATCATAAAGAAAGAAAGAGAAAAGAACAATAGAAAAATGAAAAAAAAAAAGCCTAAACTGAGAAATGAACGAAAAAGAAAACAAAAGAGAAATGAAGAAAAAAAAAGCCTAAAATCATAAATGAAAGAAAAAAGATTATTGAGAAACAAAAAATGAAAAATGAAGAAAAAAAAGAAAAGAAATAAAAAAAAAAAAAGAAAAAGAAGAATAAAATGAAAGAAAAAAGAAAAAAAAAAAAGAAGAATAGAAAAAAAGAAATGAAAATGTCTGAGAATCAGAAAAATGAAAAGAATTGAAAAAAAAGAAACTATACGCCATAAATGAACGAAAAAAGGGAAGAAAAAAATGAAAAAGAAGAAGAAAAAAAAAAAATCAGAAATGAATGAAAAGAATTGCAAAAAGAAATGAAAAATAAAATGTCTGCATAAAAGGGATAAGAAAATGAAGAAAGAGAAAAGAATGAAAGGGAAAAATCAGAAAAATGAAAAGAATTGAAATTTAAAAAAAAAAGCCAAAAAATAGCAAAAATGAACGAAAATGAAGAAAGAGAAAAGAAAAGAGGGAATGTAAACAGAAAAAATGGAAAGAAAAAAATTTGTTTAAAGAAATGAAGAAAGATTACAAAAGAAAAAAATGAAGAAAGGAAAAAGAATAGAGGAATGAAGAAAGAAAAAGAAAAAAGAAAAGAAAAAAAATAAAAAAATGCGAAAATGAAGAAAGAGAAAAGAATAGAGGAATCTACATGAAAGAAAAAATGAAAAGAAAATGTCTGAGAAATGAAGAAAGAGAAACAATTAAAAGATAGAAAATGAAGAAAGAGAAAAAGAATAGAGGGAATGTAAATCAGACAAAAATGGAAAGAATTGCATTTGTTTCTCACTATAGAAAATTACAAATAAGCAAAAAGGGATACGAAAATGAAGAAAGAGAAAAAGAAAGAGGGAATGTAAATCAGAAAGAAAAAAAAAAAGAATTGCATTTGTTTCTCAAAATACGAATTAAATTACAAATAGCAAAAGGGATGCGAAAATGAAGAAAGAGAAAAAGAATAGGGGAATTGAAAGACTGCATTTACAGCCAAAAAGACATCTGAATGTAATTTGTTGAAATGTGAAGCAGGTCAGTAATAATCCCAGCTGATTACCTACAAGGACGATGATCTTCTGGATAGAATGGACATGCAAACGTAGTGATTTGTGAATGGTTAGAATAAAGGGTTTAGTTCTTAACCCCTTAGCATACAAACAATACAATAATTCACTCTGGTTCCAGGTAATGGATAAAAGTGACATCACAAAAAATATCAACTAAGAATTAAAAAAAAAAATTCCATGCGAACGGATTGAATAAAGTATTTTGTCGAATCTACCCGATGATTGCCATATACGACAAACAACTGACAAATAAAAAAGTGGCGAATACAACCGCCAGAGATCTATGATTCAACCAGTTAAGATAAGAAAAATAGTTCAATTAAATATGCGAATGAAAACATTTTTTTACTTTCAACAAATTTGAGTATTTATTTCATTGTAAAATAAAAAATGAAAATTAGGATTTCTTAAATAACACCAGAATAATATTGTTTGTTTGATCAATCATTGTCTGTTTTGTAGCATATTATTTTATTCGTGCATGTGCATTACTTACTAATCACGTTTTACATGATTTGATGTTTTTTCATTGCGCTATAAATTGCGTGATTTCGGTTTTGTGTGTGTGGTGATAAACTCAACTGTCTTATTGTCCTGTATTTCTTTTTGTCAATTATCATCACAATGATAAGTAGAGACAATGACGAAACGAACAGGTGGCTTGAAGTTCCAGAACAGCGGACACTCCGGATGTGACAATTTTAACAATTAATACGCATGCTCCAATCAAACATGTTTTAACTTTTAAAAATAAAAAAGACAACAAAAGAAGAGCCAGTGATAAAGTCCATCAGGAACCTCGAAAAAAATTTTAATAAAATAATTTTTTACAAAACAATAAAAAGAGTAGAACGACTTTTTTCGGAAAATATTATGAAGTTGAATTTGCTTCGAAATACTCACCGTAGAAAATGGCGAAAAGAGACGCACACAGAGCAAAAAATGAGAAAGTGTTGCAGAATGTAAAGGCTAAGGTAGTGGCCGACATGCCAAACAATGAAGGCATCAGAAGGTAGCTTACAGGGATGTGAAGTAGGTCACCAAGAATTCCTGTAATAATTTGGCTAGGTCCAATAATTGCACCGACGATGGACATTATCAAGGCTCCTTGTTCACGGGTGAGTCCAACATTCACAACTTTTGCCGGAAGATAGATATAAATTTTTTCGCACGCTGAGAAAAAATATTAAAAATGAAAGAATTCAAGATCATATAAGAAAACTAAAAAATAAATTGCAACACATTATTTATACAGTTTTCTTGATATATATTTTATCAGTCTTATAAATCGTAATCGATCCAATTATTCAGAAGAATATACAACGTTTAGCAAACAATTAAATCTAAAAGAAGATTTATGTTTTTTTTTTAAAGTATCTTCAATTTTAGAACACATAGGCACATTATTTTACATTTTTTCACTGGTACAATTTGTGATAGATTTTTAAAGTCATATAGAAAGTCAAATCAAACAAGGTTTATCAAATAATTTACGTCAGAATTCTGCATTTGTATAAATAAATACGATGAAAGTGGAACTTTTTATCCAATGGCGACATCATAAAAACAACGAAAGCAAAAGATAACTAATATTAAATTTGACCAATGAAATAAATTAACGTCGTACAATAAATATAATAAAATGCTCTCTCTAGACATAAAAGGAAAGAATCAACTAAAATTTGGCAAAATTGATCATCTACCCTTACATGTTTTATGTAAAACGTTATCGAACCGTTTATGTTATGGTCGAAGATTCTTAATTGAAACAACATAATATTAATAAAAATGAAATTTGCTAATTTATTATTTATTAATACATTTTTGTAACTTACATGACCAAAAAAAGTAAACAGTTAGTAGCAACTGCATGCCTGTATTCTTCATAACATCAAGATCAAATATGATTTTGTGGAGATAAGTGCATTTGCTTGAAAATCTTTTTATCATATTGGTTGGAAGCTCGTTGACAGAATGTCCAGGATTTTCAGAGTTGTCCAAATTGTTGGTCTGAAAAGCAATTTGATTGTAGTTTTAACAAACTTTTCTAATTAGCCGAATACCACGTGAGTAAGAATAGATAAAACTAAGCTGTCGTCAAAATTATCTTATCATTCGTTATAATCGTTTTGAGCAAGACATCTATTTTCGAAAGTTTTTTTTTTTTAGATTTTGCTAAATAGTCCGATTGTATTTCCTACTCTGTACATAGCAACATAAAAGTGACCATGGAAGAAACATTTGAATAATGCTTTACTGTTTATATTATTATTATTATAATTATGTCATCATCATCATCATTCGATTTCTGCTATGGACACACTATTACCAAGTCTGCGGAAAGACCTAAGGCAGGTCGTGGTGTGTTGTTATATGGCCATTTCATGTTAATTTTTTTTTTTTTTTTTTTATCTCCGATGAAGTTGCTAGCGTTACATAACAAAGTTCTCCTTAGTGTGTGTGTGCTGTACTTAATAAGACAATTTCTGTATGTCTGAAGCTGGGGTTTCAGGATTCTTTCAATGTGTTGTTTTGTTCCATTTTTATAATTTTGGTGCAGTTTTACCACTGGTATTATTCTTGTTTTCATTTTCCACATTTTTATTTCAATTTCAGGTCTTTGTATTTTGATAGTTTTCAAATTCCTTGGTTGCTATGTTAAATCCGCTGGACAATTTATCAATTAGTAGGCAATTTTTTCTTTCTGGTTTTTGACAATGATGTCCGGCCTATTTGCTTCAATTTTTCTGTCTGTGTGGATGGTATAATCCCATAGAATGGTGACATCTTCTATTTCTTTAACCGGCGCTGGCCGATGTTCATAACAGTGTTTATAAAATTTTAAAGTTTTGCAAATCTAAAGTGTATGATTGCCCCACTCTATCATGACGATTTTTATATTCATTTGGGGCAAGTATAGAACATCCTGAGATTAGAAATTGTTTCTTGGTATTTAAAAGAACCTGCATTTTGGATCCAAAACATTATGTATGATATTTGCCTGAAAATTCCTAGTGAAAAGACTCTGGTCTTGCGCTGCAAGAATAAAGCCTTCAGTTTCAGACTTTAATCCAGATGCTCGTAACCATCGATGAGTATTAACTTTATCAACATTGGGTTTTATTATTATCATTATTATTATCATTATTATCATTATTATTATTATTATTATTATTATTATTATTATTATTATTATTATTGTTGTTATCGTTATTGTTGTAATAATAATAATAAAATAATAATAATTTAAATAATAATAATAATTTTAATAAGAAGAAGAAGAAGAAGAAGAAGAATGAATGAATGAATGAATGAATGAATTCGGAAAAATTATTATTTTCGATAGTTTAAATAATTTGGTACATTTTTAAGACAATCTCATGGAACATTTTATTTTGACATATTTAGATAATATCAGGAAAGAAATGTTATCTTTAGACTAATTCTTAATGAAAAACATTCGATCATTTAGATCATTTTTGATAATCCTGGTTTTAATATATTCGTTTTTGTATTGAATATTATTATATAATATTATTATTATAAGGCTGATTATTATTTTACTTTTATCTAAATCTAATTTTAATATAAACGAAGTGAAATATAAAATATTAATCTTTTCCAAATCTAAAAAATATGAACACTGTTTTATGAAGGTACCCCTAAACATTCACTGAATTTATTTTATGTATCTATAAGCGTGTTGAACCTTCCTTCATTTTTCAACCGATTTCAACAAAACTTCACTTTTTTTTTTTTTTGGCAGGTAGTTTTTCTTATTGTCTTGAACACTTTTTTCTTTATTTTTACATTCAGAATGCTTTAAAAATTCCATTTACAAGACAATTGTTTATAAATTCTATTCATTCGGTAGACTCATAACTATTGAAAACAATGTTTTTGTTTGAGTTTGGGTTTGACCAATTCGTAAAAAAAAAAAACTAATTAAGACATGCGTATCCGTCAACCTTAAACAATAATCTTTGTCAATTTTATTTTTCAGTCTTTATGATGGTCGATACTTGATCTATCTCTTACTGTTACATCCCCGGGCAACGTCGGGCTCTACTGCTAGTCAAATTATATAAACAGGCGTTTACTTTCTATTCGTCAAATAATTTTTATAGTTATGTACACTTACCAAAGATCAAGTTATCGATGTATATGCCAACACCTTATAAGAACACCCACTCCATGTTTAAAAGATACTTTCCTGCGATATTTTAAATTAAGATTAAGTATATTTGTTTCCATTCAGATTAATTAAACATTAAATCCTCTATTTTTTTATCAAATAATATTTCATAAAATTGGTTTTTGAGATTTTTTAGTAATGGTAGATTTCTCAAAATGGACAATTTTATAGATTTCAGTAATTATCAAAAATGGAAATACATCAAATTTCTTTTTTAAAAATACAACAAAGTGTTTTGTTTGAAATGCTTTACTCTATTTCAAACAATTTTGCAGTATTCTAAGTCCTTCAGTGTAAAATATTACCTTTTATCTATTATTTTGGAATTAAAACTAAAATAAAAACTTCAAGAAATATTTTGAATTTTTTAAATGCATTTGAAACCTTAAATATTGCTTATTTTGGGGGTTCCTAATATATATGTAACACTTCTCCATGACAACGGCCGTAGGTATTCATTTTGTTTCATACAGCCAAAACGAGAAATATTTCATTTTCATTTAACACTTTTCGACAGAATATACAAGATTTATCTATTTAAAGAAAAATATACGAACGTTTGATCTTGTAGTGAAGATTTATTCAATGCAATTTGACTACTGCTCATAAGTGAGGTTCAACCATTTCTTTTCTCGTCGAATATTTCAGGTGGGAGATAACAAAATTTGCCTTCAAGCTATAGATGTTAACCATTGTTCTATAATGAAGCATTTCGAAAATACAGTAAAACGGAAGAATCAAACAATATGGGTAAGTTTAATGCTAATGTTATTTAGAAGGAGCAATGCATCCCTAATTGTAGGAAACCTTAATGGTAATCGAACCACCGACATTCGTAAAGATCTGAGAAATGATAATGCCAGATATAGCTCCTAAGCAAAACGGCCATATTGATAATTATAAAAGCGATAAGAATCTATGTTTCTGTAGATATTTCTCGAAATAAAATGAATGTAGAAAGAAAATGAAACATTGACATTTACGTTTGTTCCTTCTTCATATTCAGTCGGCTTATCGTCTGGATCGAACCCTGATTCCGGTTTTAATAGAAACTCATTCACAGACTTCAATTGGATTTCTGAAACGAGACGCTTTCTATAAAACTTACAGAATACAATTTAAACAAAGCAAAATAAGGAGAATATTAAGAGACAGCAATATCTTGTTAGAAACAAAGAAAAAAGTATTCAAGTGATATCTGTCTTCCTTTATGGCAGAAAATGCTGGACAATCTCGTCAAAGATGAAGAAGGGACTTGAAGTAACAGAAATGTGGTTCGACAGAAACATACTGAGCATATATTGGGCCGAACATGTGAACAACGAGGAGGTTTTTGGAAAGAATGGAAACCAAAAGGAAACTTATACTTAAAATCAGGAAGTGGCAGTTTAAATTTTGGGGACACGTAATGAAGAAGAAGAGTTTTGAAAATCTGATACTCACAAGAAAGATTGAGAGAAAGATGGACAGAGGAAAGCAGCGCGTATCATTCTTGTTGAGCTTGAACAAATTCATGGCAGAACTGAGTTTAGGAGAAATAACAAAAAGACAAAACTTATTAAGAACTAAAAATGGCACAAAGATGTGGAGGGCCTTCGCCGCCTAAGTCCCGAAGGGACACGGCATATAAAAGAAGAAAATCTTCTGTTCAAATTATTTAAAAAGAGAAGATTGTGCATTTTCTGAAACTTATTCATACTAGAAGCTATTCTATTGTCATTTTAGTTATCCATTTTACCAATTCTATACAAAATTAAAATATTTCTATTTTGCAAGGTTTGAAAGGTATGTGATTAGAATATGTATTTGAACAAATAGAAATTTATAGGTTTGGTAATCACTGATTATTTAATATATACATGACATTATTGTCCTTTCTTCTGAATCGAATCTTGATTCCGCTTTTAATAGAAACTCAGTCACAGAGTACAATCTGATTTCTGAAACGTGAAGCTAACCTAAAAAATATCTGTAAAAACATTTTCAAATACGAGGAAATTTTGTATTTCTGAAATTCATTCCAATATTTATTTTATTCAAATAATTGTTGTTCAAAATATTTCATTGATGCATATTATTCATTTTTCTGATTATTAGTTCATTGTTTTTGGTTTCAAAAGTTTTAGCCCTATTAACATGAAAATGTTTAGCGCCATTGTTAACCAAATGATTATCGCTACTGATATCAACATGTTCCATGCCATTGTCACTGATAAATATAAGTTGAAGTAAAATTCATAAATGAATTTCTTTTTGATGTTTAGGTAAAGGATGTTTCAAACAATTATTTTTTTAGTGGCAGTGTATTTTGGCTCATATCTTCTGAAGCTGTCCTTTATGGTCAGATGGTAGATAAAATAGGGATGTCGATTTTGATTGGCTGAGCCGAACGTGGGAGAGATAGAAAGTGATTTCAGGGAGTTAAGTTTTTACACGTCATACACATTAGACGTGGTTATTTTGTGTTTCGGGAAACATGCTCCCCCGTGAGGGTGAGGGTGATGGAGTGACCCCACCGGCTAGTTAAAAATGTATACGTCAACATATTTAATAAAATAGATATTTTTTCAATTTCTTTTCATTTCCGGACTCCAAAAACATTTCGACACCCGGCTAGAAAAAGATGGCTAAGTGAGAAGAATGTAAATTTGTTGTGAAATTGACCTCGTCGTCCAAGAGAATAGGCAATACAACATATACGTTATTTGGTGTACACTGACTAGTTCCTCACAACAAAGAAAGGCACAAGAGAACTATGGTTACAACACAACGTGGAAAACTTCGGAGAAGATTTCTTTTACTGAGGACTCAAAAAAAAAATGGGAATATAAAAAATATCTAGACATATTGGACAATATGTAAGTACGATGATATTATTTTATTTTACTACCACACCCACAGAGATCTAAGCAACAAACAAATTAGGAAGTAATGATAAAAAAAATGAGAAAAAACAGAGTTTGACGAACAGAAAAAAGTGAGGACGAATGTTTTGTCTTGTTTGGGTTTTACAAAAGTTTAGACCGTGTACAGAAATCTATTGTTTGATTTTGATTGGCACATTTAATGTTTTTGGGTGCATCCAAATTTTGAATGTCTGTCAAACTTTTCTCACAGAATGTTAATTTAATTTTTTTCTTTATGCTATTATTCTTCATAATAACGAATATCTTGATTATAAAATTCACGATGCATGTTTATACCGTTCTTGTAAAAAATAAAACAAAAAAATGAATGTATTTTTAGCAATGCTGATTTTCCAAAATTACTATACAGAAATTGCACATTTGAAAAAATTGAAAAAAAATTTAATTTAATATTTTTCTCTGATATTATTCTTTATAACAAACATTGATTTAAAAAGTAATTATTTACGGGTATTTAAAAAAAAGTGTGTTTAAATTCTACTAGCATTCTTGTTAAAATTTTGAAAAAAAAATTAGCCAGTTTAATATTTTTTTTAAATATACCGTCAAAATATTAAACTGGTTTTTTTGTTTAGCATTTCAATCGTTTTTATGAAAAAAAACATGGGATAGATTCGCATCTCCAAAAATACAATTATCCAAATGTTTTAATAAAGAAGATTCAATTCATTATGTAATTTCAATATAAAACGGATCCTGACCAGTGAAACAATTTTTTCATTTGAAACCACGTAATATCAATTTTAAAGACAACGCCATTTTAACAAAAAATGAAAATTTCCTACATTCCATTTAGAAACAAAGGATTTAATGTTTTTTAATCATAAATCTTAATCTCTCCAGAATTAAATATGAGGTTTATACATTGGAAGAAGAAAAATTTCTTGTCAATATTCATCAAAAAAAATAATTTTTTAAGTTAAAATTTTTTAAGGAAATAAACCAAAATCTGTCTCATAATGGTAAAATATACATTTTAACAGGTTGCTATGGTAAAACTATGATTAACAAAATTTTTTTTTGTGTATTTTTTCCTCGCCAAGATCAGAATGATCAAGAACGATGGAAATTCGTTACAAACCTCAAATTGAAAACACACCTGACAAATCAAACACTGTTGTTTGTAAAAGTCATTTTTCTAAATGAATTTATGAAACACTGGTTATTACAAAAAATTTTATTATCCAGAAATCCACCATCAATATTTGATAATTTTAAAAAGTGTGTAACCTCGTTTTGACGAAAACCAACAAATAGAATTTTGCTGACATGCGAAAAAAAAAATGATGATATGTCAGGGTTTCAAGAAAGGGTCAAAATATTACGTTTGAAAAATTGTATCAGAATATTGATCAACAGATTTTTATTTAGAATTACATCCTATAAATCAAACAATCGGTTGTTTATCCAATCTGTTGATTTTTCAATATTTTTTAATAAAAAGTTTTGAAACGTCGAGACTTGAATGTTCCAATGCTTACATATTTATTCAAAAAAATGTTTCCCTTTTATTTACATTAGTCGGACTATTGTCCTCATCTTTGTCGCCATATTTGTCACAACGTTTCGGCCGTTGTACGCTCCGGCCTTCTTCAGGTGGTTGGAATTTCGAACTGAACCCTTTATTTCGATCACTGGGGTAGACTGTTCTAATTCCACGTGCCATGTTTGATGGATGTCAGTTATCAGTTATCTCCTGCTAATTTTCCCTCTGAAAGTTCTCCACTGCCTTAACCAGGAATTGAACTCACCTTCTTTGGGTCTGTCACTGGATCTAACCAACGCCTTTATCCACTGTGCCATGTGTCCTTGAGGACATCTGGGTATGAACTTCTTAGTATTATAAACCTAATGTTTTCAGCATCATTTTTTACCAGTGCTCATATTGCATTTTTTTTGCTGTTATCATTGCATTTCTTTACCAGAGTTCATATTGCAACTTTGTTATCATTGCTTTTCTCTGGCACTCCTTATTACTGGTTCCCATATTGTATTTATTTCTATGCTTGGTCGGCTCAGGAGATTTTTGTGGCCTAGCATATGTGCTGATTCCTTAAGTTTACGAATTTTCCAATGGTGTTCCCTGTCTATGATCTCAACATGATCCCACAGGGGCGGTGATCTCCTTCTCTCTCCATATGTGGTCAGCCACGCCTGATTTTTCTACTTCCCCTCGCGTTACAGCTTTCTGGTGTTCTTGAAGCCTTACCTTGAGGGGGCGGCCTGTCTCTCCTTTATATTCCTTTCCGCAGCTGCATGGGATAGCGTACACACAGTCTTTAGTCATGTTTCTCTCTATGGGGTTCTCACTCGTGAGAGATACCTGCGAAGTGTTGTCACGCTTTTGAAGGTTGTCCTGATGTTATATGGACCGCAGATCTTTTGTATTTTCTCTGATAACCCCTTCACATAAGGCAGGCAGACTGTTTTCTGAGTGTTGTTGTCCTCCTCCTCCTCCTCCTCTTGTACCCGCCTATCCCAGTTTTTGGGGGCTGCTGCCATGTACCCAGGGTAGTTGTTGCGTTGTAGGGTACTACTTATACTGACCAATTCCTTATCTAACGTCTCTGGATCGCCACTTATGACTTTTTTGCTCGGTGTTGTAAGCATCGGACGATCCCTTTCTTTACGCTGTATGGATGGTGGGAGTTGAAATTGAGGTACTGTCCGGTGAATGTTGGTTTACGGTATACGGATGTCTTGAACCCATTCTCTGTTCGAGATATTAGTACATCCAGGAATGGGAGTGAGTTGTTACTCTCTTTCTCCATTGTGAACTGTATCGAAGGTCTTATTGAGTTCACATGGTCCAGAAGAACCTGGACTTCTTCCTGATGTGGCCAGAGTATGAAAGTGTCATCTACGTACCGTAACCATATAGTTGGCTTTAGCGATATAGACTCTAATGCCATTTCTTCAAAGTATTCCATGTATATATTCGCCATTGCTGGTGATAATGGCGAGCCCATTGTTAAGCCCTCATCCTGTCGATATATGTGAGATCCCATTCCGAAGTGTGTTGTTTGTGTACAGAAAGTCAACATCTCCATCAGATTATCTATTGGAATACTGGTCCGCTCCTCTAGGGAAGAGTCAGAGGTTAATCTATCTCTGACTACTGAGAGTGCCTCCTCCGTGGGTACCTTGGTGA